TTTCGCTTACTTTTCGCTTCGTGGCCAGCGTTTGATAAGGTCCATACACGCTGCACCAAAGGAGCACTGAAAAGCCACTGCCACGGCAGCAAGGGCAGTTTTTTGCCTCTCTAAAAAGGAGCAGCACTTGCCAGCTCTTTTTAAAGTGGCAAACCACCAGATCGGGGCTGCAGCATGCAGTTGCCACGGCCCTGATCCAGCAAGGAAAGGGGCGGTGGGAGACGGCCCCTTAGAGACCATCTGTTCAGTCCCTTAATCACCAGCAGAAGAGAAGAAAAGGTGGGGCTGCGCTTTAAAGAGACCACTTTCCAAAGCGCAGGAAGTTTGAATCCACTGCATTTCTGGAGCTGCTTTTTTCACTCCTGCAACCAAGTGCCAAGAGGGAAAAACAATGGCACTTGGCTGGCAGGGAGAGAGCAAAAAGTTGGGCATGATCTGCCCCCTGCACATTAAGCCCTCCCTTTCTATGCTCCAAATTGAATCAATAGTAATTTTCTATTTGCGGCTGATAATAAAACACCAGTTCTTTTGAAAAGATGCTGAAAATGCCTAGGTATCAAAAGCACCAGGTTTTTTGCCAGCCCCCCCACCCACTGCACCAAGTCTACTCAGTCCCAGTGTGAACAACCTTGAAATAGTTCAGTTTCCACACCAAGTTATTTTGTAGTGTGAATGGGCCCTTTGTTGTTGTTATTGTAACTCAAGGTCACCCAATAAGTTTCTATCGCTGAGCAGGGGTTCAAACCCTGGCCTCTTTGTGTCTTAGAGCCTTTACAGACTGCCAGAAATAGTGCAAACTGAGTCCACTTTAACTGCCCTGGCTCAGTGCTAGGGAGTCATGAGAACTGTAGTTTATTGTGGCACTAGAGCTCTCTGACAGAGAAGGCTCAATGTCTCAGAAAAAACCTACAATTCCCATGATTCCCTAGCACTAAGCCAGGACAGTCAAAGTGGACTCAAGTTGCATTATTTCTGGCAGTATAGTCCAACTCTTAAAACACTATGCCATGCTGGCTCTCAACATCTTCACTGAACTTCTGTTCATATTGCTATGTCCTCTGTCATCTGCTCTTCAACTTTCACTGCAGATTTCTGTTGCCAGAACAGTTTATTCAGCTGTTGAATCTTTTCTGCCAGGTGATTCCAGAGTCCAGGGGTGGCTAAAGAAAATATCCTTTGGCTGACAATTGCTAACCTAGTCATAGGGCCTCTACAGATGGGCCCTTTGGGGTGTCCTGGAGGCAGGGAAGATGTCCTGACACCATGCGCCGTTACGGCAGCTCTTAGGGCACCCTTTTGCAGGCTCTGAAAGGAGCGTCATTTTGCTGCTCTTTTCCGGGCCGGCAAAAGGAAGGATTGGGGCCAATGCATCTGGCAGCCTCAGCCCAAGGCCACCCATCTGCATCCCCCCCATAGTTGACTGGAGTAAACATCACTGGATGATGTACACACACACAACAATGTGGAAGTATCAAGTTGTTTTTTTTATCATGGCACACACGTGAACAAAGATAAATTGGAACTTGTTGAACAACTTGTAACTTTTTTACTTTGTACAGCACTGTGTATAATTACAGCGCTCTAGAAATAAAGTTTAATAATAATAATAATAATAATAATAACTTATGGATGATTTATTGACAATCAGTGACTGGCATCCTTGCAGTGACATACACATGTGTAAATTGAGCTCCAAAAGCTTATTCACCATAGTGAAACAGAGATGTGCTACTGAAAGTGGTGGAAGTTGCAACCACAGCAACGTTGCCTATTGTGGTTGTGCATCACACAATGGCACCAGCTCATTGGCACTTGTTGTACAGTGTGTAGTGTTGGTGTAGCATATTTCATGTAGATATTTACATTGCTATTTTGCTGTTAATGGCTGTCAAGTTGACTTTGACTTATGCAACCCTATGAATGAGAGCTCTCCAGGTCCCGCTATCATCAACCGCCCTGCTCAGGTCTTGAAGACTCCAAAACATGGCTTCCTTCATTGGTGTGCTTCCTTTTCATGATATGGCCAAAGTACAACAGCCTCAGTTTAGTCATCTTGGCTTTTAGGGAGAGTTCAGGCTTGGTTTGGTCCACAACCTATATATTTGTCTTTTTAGCAGTCCACATATCTGTAGAACTCTTCTCCAGTACCATATCTCAAGTGAGTTGATTCTCTTCCCGCCAGCTTTCTTCACTGTCCAGTTTTTACAACCATACTAAATGGGAACATTACACTGAGGGTATATTGAATTACAGTCAGTAAATTATAGATAAATAGCAGGCAAACAGTTGGATGATTTACAGCATTTTGTCCCAATCTGGTGCCTTTCCAGGTGTTTTGGGTTATATCTCCCAGTGTTCTTGACTGTTGTCCATATGGGGAAGGAGCTGTAGTCTAAAACATCTGGGAAGTATTAAGCTGTGGATGGCTAATCTACACAAAGCAGGAATAGCAGAAAGTACACGAGTCTTCCAACTTGCTGCAAAAAGCCAAAAGCTTGAAGTTACAGTTACAAAATAATTAGCTAGTAACATATCTAAAAACTAAAAAGTCAGTTACTATTGCATTGTTTCTCAAGATTAATTACATAAGTTACTTTTCTGCAAAAAGTAACTGGCCTGCAGTACAAAATTAAGCTAGCTATGTACACAATACCAAAATTAGCAAAGTTACCAAAAGCACAGCCACAAAATTAGAACTGTATTTCTCCTCGGTTAGGAATACCACCTGCTAGATGCGTATTGTCAAAAGGAATGTTTGGGTACTAGTCTCACTACCTGACAGTTTCCTCCTTAAATCAAACTTGGATATGTAGGGTAATTTAAGTTTCCTAAGGCTTCAGCCTTTGGTATGGAAACAAAAATAGTGAAATATCAAAAATGTCAAAGCCAAGCCTGTTAGGGTCTAGCTTTAAATCAGCAGAGTAGCAGAAATGTTATCCAACTATGGGGGACTGCACAGAGCTGCCCTGGGAAGTGGTGGACTGGGGCAGTGGCAGCCCCACACCGCAGCCCCAATCCTCCCTTCTGCCGCCCCAAAAAGAGCGGCAAAATGCCGCTACTTTTAGGGGGGCAAAAGGCCACCCTAAGAGCCAGCAAGAGCCAGCAAGCAGTGCATCAGAATGCTGTGCTGGGAGGGCATCCTGATGCCGTGTGCCATGCGTAATGGTGCATAGCGTCAGGATGGCATCGGCATGGGGTTGGGACGGCCAGCATGCGGCTGCCCTGCCCCATCCCTGCCTCCAGGCCAGCCCTTTGGGCCAGTCTGCAGAGGCCCTACACTTCCCTGAGAACTGAGACTGACTCAAAAACAATACGTAGCTTGTAGTTTAAAACAAAAGTATACATAAAAGCTATATCCTAATCTAGCTAGTGAATAGTTCAGGTAAAAAGAAATCTTTATCTCACCATCTTTCCAAAGAAAGTTGAGAGAAGAAGAAGATGGAAAACATGTAGTTGTTGAAAATCTTTAGGGAGAATGTCTGTTAATCCCAAAGGGGGAGTGACCTAAATTACATGGTTATTTGAAAGAGAGAGAGAGAGAGAGAGAGAGAGAGAGAGAGTTTGCATGTAGGAAATCCCTAACTATCTAAGGAGGAGGAAAGAGAATGCAAAAATCTTCCAACAGGATACAATAGTCATCAAATGAAGGGCACCTGGCAGCCTTTCAAACAGGTCTGCAAAAGAGGCAATGTAGCCAACCTATGTCAAACACATGCTCCTCTCATCTTAATTTGTTGTTATCTCAACACCCACATCAAAGTGAGACACTGCAGAAAGCGACAATAAAGCACAAACCAGCACTTGAACCATTTCATATTCCTCCTCCACAATTTAGTGAGGCCACATCTATGTAACTATGCAGGTAAATTCGAAAGGTAAAGCTTGAAAGTAACTGTATAGCTTTACAAGCAGGTGAGAATCATATGGTTCCAGCAACCCTAGCCAACTGAGCCAATGGTGAGGAATGCTGGAAGTTGCAGTCGATTAGCTGGAAGGCCACATGATTCCTGCCTCTGAGTTACAGTAATACTGTACATATTGTTATGGCTTTATTAGAAAAAGAACTTGTCAAAGATAACTAGTTATCTATAACTAGTTAGGGACTTACCCTCCATGAGTTTATCTAACCCCATTCTAAAGCAGTCTATACCAGTGACCAGGACCACAGCTTGTAGCAATGAATTCCAATCATTAAATTATATTTCAAGTGAAGAAGCTACTATCTATCTATCTATCTATATATATATATATATATATATATATATATATATATATTGACAGTCCTTCTAGATTAATGGGGTAACCTCTGGTTCCAATGTTATAAAAGGAGACTTTACACATTTTCTTCAGACTTTACATATTTTTTTAAAAAAAATCTATACCATATTCTCCTTATTCACTTATTCTAAACTAAATTACTCTGGCTATTCTAACATTCCGTACCCAATCATATTGGTTGCCTTTCTCTGCATCTTTTTCAGCTCTATAGGATCCATTCTGAGATAGAGAAACCATAGGTGTTCACAATTTTCACAATTTTCCAAGTGTG